GTGGAGAGTTTTAGAAATCTTAGATACTCTGGGGTAAAATTATAAGAGCAGGCTTTTAACCACATGACTTCCATTAATGCTATGTTTAAAACCTTAAAGGAAATTTGCCTGTACATTCCTGTTTAGGATCTTAGCAATCCTGTAGAGCTTCCTCAATTAAAATGTGAAGATATCATTAAAGATAAGGGCTGCCTTGACTATCTGGCAGATCACATGAGAATAAAGGTGCATTTAATGCTCCATGTTTTGTTAGTACTGAGAAATAATTCACTTGAGCAATTAAGTCCACAAGGAAAAATAGTAATATTTAAAAAAAAAGACAAACCTAGATTAGTAGAAAACAGTGCAATCACGTATTAGGAGATATCAGCGGAAAACTCCTTGCATACACGTCTGCTATCAGAAAGACTATAGAAAGGACAATGAGGATATGACGAGCCAAAAAATAAATCTATGGAGTCAATGTGTGACACTGCTTTACAGGAATGAACTATTGCTACATCCACATCACTTTCTTTATCAAGGAGACAAATCCTGAAGTTATAGAGCATCCCAGGTGTTTATTTTATCAGGTAAAATCATGATACAATGAATTGCTTCACTCTAGACCTCTGAAGAATTAGAATACATGAGGCAGAGGGGCAGTGAAAATATTTAAAGCATCTTTATTATTATTATTATTAATAGCAATTAGTTTGAAAAGTGAACGACTCATTTTAACTCCAAAAATTCTCTGGATGCCAGAAACAAGAATGTCCTACATCAAACCATTATAAAAATACAATTCTATCACAATCCCCCCATTGTATTATATGCACTTTATAGCAAAAGGAGTACAGAAGAATTTCCTTAGACTAACCACTAATGCAGAGTAGAGGTTAGAAGCAGGAAATCCCAACTCCTAAACATGAACGTGTCAATCTCTCACTGACAGTCTTAAATAAGAGAGTGCTATAAAATGACAATGCAGGTGTGGATTTATGTCTGAACTCATTTCTATTAGACTTGGTTGAGTTTCACTCTAGCATCTTTCTATGAAATAAAACTTTAAATACAGCTTGGCTATATACTGGAACTTTCAAGTGACTCAGCAGCACTTTAAACTCATCAGCACAAGCTCCAGAAATCCTGATTTGATACCACTTTTGTACATTAGATTTCCACCATGCAGGAATGTCTGCATGGAGTTCTAATAGTTTAAAAGATCTGTTTGCCCATGCTCAAAAAAATCCCAGAAAAGCATCCAACTGCTTACATGAACCCCTCCCCAAACTGTCGTGCATGCTGAGATTCCATCGTGAGTCAAATGTAAAATGTACTCGCTCTTTGCCTTACACCCACAAAGTTAATAGATTCAAGACTTTTTTTTTTTCTACAAGAATGAGAAACGCATGCCGAGTGCTGTCAAATTACTTCAGAGCAAAAGAGAAGCCTGAACTAAGACACTAATATTTAGGTACAGCAGGGATCCAAAATTAGTGTAAGATGTTGCATGAAACAGTCATCCCAATGCATGCTGAAAACTACCACGCCAGACAGTCACCTCTTCTAAACAAAGATGTGCTTTTCTCCTCTGCTGAAAACAGCACAGATTTACAAAAACCTCCATTTTGAAGGACTCGAGATAGTCAAGTCTGAGCCGGGAAAGAAGCAAGGACAGCCACTGAGGGACCATGGAAGCAGGCGAGAAGCAGAGGTTTAAAAAGAACAGCTAGGAGAAACCAGAGGCTGGTCAAGGCTATAAATAATTTCTGCGAGTCCTATGGACAAACTGGCTGAGGCTGTGCTCCACTCAGACCTTACAACGTAACCAGAGTTAATACAAGAATGGGAGACTTCCCGAAAGAAGGCTGTTGGAGATGGCGTGAGCAATTTAGAAGATGACACTCCCTCTCTTCAAGTAAGTGATAATGACTCTATGCCCTAACAGTGTTGGAGGCATGGTGCTGCTTATGAATGAGACATTCAACCAGGTTCCTATCCTCACCAGACATTAGCCCTATTTTCATAATATCCAAGTTTGTTCAGCTTATTCATTCTCATTCAGAGAAAGTGCAATCCAATGTACTGTGCAACGTATTAAGGGCTAGGAACCTGGATTCTAGTCTTGGTTCTATCTTTGACTCCCTTCCTTTAGGAAAGTCATCGAGTCTTGCAGACATTCAGGTTATTTCTCTGTTAAAGAGGGTATACTCTTTAGTAGTTCTCTGTAAAGTGCGTTGAGATGTATAGAAGGAAAATGTTGTGCCAGTGCTAAGTATTATTATTCATTCTACCTGTTATTTCAATGACTACAATAATGGTCGTATTTCCTGTCCTAAACAGTTTACTGGTAATATGTGGGCTACGAGACAGCTGCTGCATTTCATGCCAGAGCTAACCTAATCTCAGCAGTAGGCGAGAGGATGACTGTAAAGAGAATATCCTCCAGAAGAAAAGATGCTATATAAATGTAAGATTTTCTTTCATACACCTCATTAAACTAGATTTACCATCTGTTCAAAGGCAGAAATGCATTAAAAAGGAAGATATAATGCAGGTGCTGCTAAGCATAAAACCACAAGTTAACAACAGAATTCAAGTCATAACAATGAAACTTTGATTTGTAGGGCTTCCATCAGACAGTATCTTGATAATCTACACTGATTTTTTTTGGCGTATGTGTTTTTAACAATGATTTTACAGGGACCTTGATGTAAACAAAAGCTCCACTTAAATAAAGTCAAGAAAAAAAAAATGCATAATCCTTAGATTCTTTACTACAAACAATAAAGTCTTGCAAAACCACGACTTGTTCAGAACTACTGTGGTGACAATGCAAAATCCTCAAGAGCCCTTATTCTGCAGGTTACTGAAGATAGATTGCAACAGGTCCTAGCCACAACAAAAGTATTTTTTTTAATTATAGAAAATTAAAATTTCAAGCCACATCACAACAATTCTCTGATGGATGTTCATTGCAAAAACAAAAACCAGTACTTTTTTAAAATCAGGTTTTTAATCATATGTAAGAAAGCCTGATTTAAAAGGTCACTTTCCATTTGCAGATATTTAAAAGGTTGACTAGGAAAGTATTTTGTTGATTTTTAGATGACGAACAAGCGTTATATTTGAAACGGAATTGGATGGCAAAGTAATCTGTGAAGCAATTCATAATTACTGAATTAATGACAGCAAAGCTATCACTTGCTTTAAATTCCTGTTTTGTTCATATCCCCGATGCCCGTTTCAGAACACACACACACACACACACACACACACACACACACACGAAAAAGTGAGTTCCATCAAAGCATAATTATTTTCCAACACAAATCAGTTATTGGGATTAAGAAGAAAGATCCTACCAGCTAAACAAATACAATGCAACATTTACAATCCAGGAATACATAGTGGTCTAAGCAAAAAACGTTTTCCATAAGATTACGTGCATCTTGTTTATAAAAAAAAAAACAACAAAAAAAAAAACCACGTTTCCCAGTGGGTAAACATATGAAAAGGAGGAAGCTTAAGTGTACAATTTTTCCGGTCAGGTTCTCAAATTTGAGACAGGTAGCATCAATAGCCTGTGTTACCATACTAATAATGAATACCAAGCAATGCTCCTAGGAATGGCTTTGGAGTTGCTTGTTAACCTTCATTAAGCCCAGAGTGTATACATTCTTAATTAAAATAGGTGTTCTGTGGAATTAGTCATTAAACCTATGAAAATTGGCTCCAGCAGCTTAGCTGCTGAATCTCTGTGCAGAGGACCGCCCTGAAGAAACAGGTGTTTTCCCAAAGCACTGAGTCAGCTTATCTAACAATAACCCAAGATATCAGAAGAATCTCGTTGTGTTAACAAGACCCTCCAAATGATGCTTCTAAAGCAAAAAAAATGCATTTCATAGCATCATATTTACTTGAATCCAAGAAGAGGTTCTACCCCTCCACATTCAAAATGACACTTTTTTTCCCCCCTTTCACATCAGACTCAAGTACGGGGCTGTGCCAGGGCTGGAGCTGCTGCCCTTGCTACCTGGCCAGGTCAGAACTGCCACCACTGCCACATCTGCAGCCCCAGGCCAGGGCTGGGAGCCACCGTGTGCTCCATGCTCCAGGCCAGGGCTGAAGCCAAGCAGCAGGAGTTTTAGAGAATAGCAAAGCATGTGCAAAATAGGTTGGTGTACTAAAGAAGCTATAACAGGAACGGCATATTAAAACTTTCTGGTTGTCACGGAGGATTCCAGTTGTGAGTCTTCATTTTGTGGAAAAAGTTATTCAATGTGAGCATGTACGTGAACATATTCACATGCAAGCATGACTTTCTTGATGTCATAGTTCCTGGACTGCCTTCCAGTTCAGTGTCAACTCCCTCGTCCTTCCCAATCAAGAATCAGAAAAGGAATCGGGTCTTAAGATCAGGTCCTTCATAAGATACTACATTACTATCTCCAGAGCATGAAGCAAAGCTGCCAACTCATTTTTCTAAGTGAACAAAGCAGCAGCATTTGTGGCACAAACTGTTCATTTTGCTAATACATGGCCACCGATTAAATTAAAACAGCAATCCATCACGATGCATGCACAGAATAAATCACCCATGGCTTGCAAACATCTCTCAATTATTTGAGGCACAGCGACCTGTTTTGACTACTTCTCTGTAATAACTTCATCCATTATTACCATCAAAAAGGGTGAATCATGAAAATGAGATTACGCAGAGAGAAAATAATCCCACATGATTTCAAAATACCTCCTCATCTATTTTATATTAGTTTTGTATCACTGGCCTTCATCCGCAAGTTTAAAAAAAAAAAAAAAAAAAACCTACCAAAAACTGTCTTAAAAAAGTGTGCTGGTAGATTGAAATCTCGAGAGAAAACATTTAACAGTTTGATATCATAAACGTCTGGGTACAAAGGAAAGTTGAGCGTGGAGGGGAAGCCCTCAGCTTTGCTACTGTGATGCCTATTCGCATACTAAAAAGATAAAAAATATATAGAATGAGAAGTTCTTACCCAGAAGATCCAATGCTTTTACACATACCAAGAAGGGGTCTCTTCTCAGAAAAGTTATCACATTTTTGAGTACCTGATTAGACAGAAAAGCAGAAGATTAAATACTTTTTACTGAGAGTTTATCAGATTTTTATTTTCATCATGCTGTGCTTACCAGCTCACAACTCACTTCAATGATGTACCAGCTGCGCAAACGGAAAAGATGTAATTACATCTTAGTTTTAAGATTAGTCAAATTGCAGTCTACTTTTTAAAAAGCACAAATCATTAACAAAATCTGAAGCCAGAATAAAATTACCCTTTCTTCTAAAGCAAGGGCAATTAGCATTTTTAAAGCTTGCTTCATGACTGGGTATCCCTAAAGGCTTTCTTAATGAAAAGGACAAGAATGTGACAACACATTGGTTTTCCACCCCCTGCCCCAGTAGCCAGTACAAGCTCAGCAACAGGGGCACAAATCAGCGAGCCATCCTCTGGAACAACAGTGCTTGGAGACTGGTGACGGGCGTAAATGAATAAGGACATTTGGCCAGGACACTGGAATTATTCCTTATTCATCTCAGACAGGATTATGGGATCTTGACTTATAAAGTAACATCAAGCAACACTCGCTCACATTTCAGTGCTCTGGACAGCTCTTCCAAGACAGCAATGGCCCCACCTCTGAAAGGCACTCACCTTTTTCAATTCACTCCATTAAAGGTCACACAGCGTAAGAGTAGTCCCCCCACTCCTTTGTTCAATAAGCTACAGTGCTAGTGTATGCCTAAAACGAGGCTGCATCACACCCCGAAACAGATACAAGATTCAACTGGGCACGATTTTCACGAGTTACTCAGCAGCCAAGTCCCATTTTCAAGTGATGTAGGCACTTTGGGGCTGGGAATCATCAGTGGGACTCACTTCGAATAAGTCTTCAGGGATGTGTGCTTTGCAGTAAAAAGCGTGGCAGCAGCTCATGTAGGCATGCACAAGCTAGCTCTAAAGTAACTAGCTAGGGCACTGGTATCAGTGTAGTGACAGCAGCACAGACTGGCCACCTGAATATTTATCCAGCTTCTCAGGCAGGTTGTGCAGCCTTTTCCGAGATTCACTCCGATACAAGCTCAGAGCTGTCAGTCCCTGAATTAATGTAAAGCTGGCTCAGGTACATCTGTGCAAGCTGCAGTCACATCTTGGTCAAGGTGTGAATGTACTGGCAAGCCTCAGTCACTTTTGAAAATGGCACTTAAGAATTTTTTTAAGTTGTGCCCAGCATCTAAGTAGGAATAAAGTAAAATAAATAAATACATAAAATCTCCCTACCCTGTTACTCTTTTGTTCACTTCTCGGACGTATATTTACTGAATTTAAAAACAAACACACGCACAAAACCGAGTCACCTCTCTGAGATAATTTAAAAGAAAACTATCTTTGTGAAATGCAAATCTTTCAACCTTTTTGATCAGCACAATGACTTATCACGTATTGGTAACATATTCTGTTCACAATTAACTGTGAATTAAGTTTTGAAGTTGTACTTCTAAATGAATTAAATCAGAAAGGTACAACAATTAACAATATACTTTTTCACTTAATAGCGCCTGTTAATAATTAATAGTATGGGTACATACTATTAATTTGTTACATAAAAACTGTTCAGCAATCTCATCTATACAAGGCTGAAGTCTTCCCTCCTACACATTTGGATATTTGTAATGCTAAATTGTTCACATCAATAATTTCACTATCAACAATAGCCTTACAAGTAACGTAAAGCAGCCAAAACGGTTTTCCCTTTTATTTTGCTCCTTCTAAGGTCTTTTATGGGTCACACCTGTATGGTACTATAAGTACTGATCTGTAAATTGATAAATGAAACATGAAGGTTTTGTGTTTTTTTTAAAACAAGGCTGGCAACCCATTTCATTCCCCCCACCACCACCACCACCAATATTGGTAACAGATGAACTCCATTTGTTCCTGTTTACCTAGTCAACCTCAACAGACATTGCATTAAGAGTGAAACCCTTACTGCAACCAAGCCAGTGGGAGTTCTGCCACTGACTTCAGAGCTAGCATTTCATCTCATGTATTTAAGCTATACAAGAAACATGACTCCACAAGTTTGTATTAAAGGGTCCAGTCCTAAGTTTAACAGCAATATGAGAGAGAGAAAGGATAGCATAGTACACAAAAGGAAGATGAATTAATGGGGAAAATATTTACAGGGAACCAAACAGGAGCACCAATCAATATATGCACCAATATATGCATTTCTACATAATTGTACAAAGCTCTTAAACTTCCAACTGCAGAATCACGCTCACATTTTTTTAAAATTCCATTATCTACTTCAACTATAAGTTTTTAAATGTAAATATTAATATTCGAGAAAAGTCATTAGTGGAAGGACTTTGCAGTGCATAAAATCAGGTTAATAGCAGTCCTAGCCATGAAACTGCAGACCGCAACATGTGTTGTTGTAATGCCAAATGGAGTCAGCACCCCCTCGTAGTTTGAGGGTGGGGGAGAGGAAGAATTTAATCCTTGAAGTTATAGCAGATTAATTTTTTAGATGTAAAATTGTGTTTATTCGCATGTGAGATGCACTGACGTTGTACACACCTGCTCCAATCGCCGTGTTTAACAAAATGCAGCAGAATGATTGAAATGAAAGACAGCTAGCTAAATCCATCAAATATAAAAAGTACTGAAATCCTGTTGCAAAGTCCTTTTCTTAAACTCCTTTTATTCTAAATCCTTTTAATTCTGTCATATAACACTATAGCATTTATAAAAAGCTGAAAATCCTGATAAATCACACAATTAAAGTAATGAAAACTGCTTTTTCTGCCAAAAAGGCACCACCTTTTCTGCAACTCCATTTAACTAAATGATAAAAAAAAGTCTACTATCGGTTTGTATATTTGAAAATGTGCTAAAATTGCCTTCTAGCTAGATGAAAACAACTTCCATACAAAGCAATTCCCTGAGGCTAAAAACTTATCCCACATGCCAATGCTGCTCACTTGTTCCTGCTTCTGTATAGTACTCCTGATAAAGTTTGAGCTGGAAGTTGTACCTTTCCATGCAAACATCTTAATGCAGAGCATTAGAAAAGATATAACCCAATTAGCTAAGAACCTACTAACTTTCATGGGAGTTGAATCCAACACCTCCAGAAATTAAGCAACTTTCTATTTTTGCTGGGTTCACAGTAATGACGGTGCTTGCCAAAAGTCATGTTATTATATAATTTTTTCATCTACAAAGCGTTTTAGTTTACCTTCTGTAAGAAATGCACTATGCAATACAAAATGCTGTTGTATTTAGCCGTAGTGCGTACTTTGAATGAAAAGTCCATTCTCTGCATGAGTGCTGGCAAATGAATATCAATAAATCAGTATAAAAACTGTGACTCCCTCTTGTTTCTTCATTTTCTCTTTTATTAAAAGTCTGTTCCATTTAAGCTCTGCTTTCAATAGTATTCAGTGTGACTGGTATTAATTGGCCAGAGTTCTCACTTTTTGCCTTTCCCGGTACAACTGGGAAAAAAAAAAAGTTTGATTTTGATCTTGTATCTTTTTAAATGTATGCGGTGGTGTATGGATTGGGCGGGTGGAGAATACCGTCTTCAGTAAACACATACATTATGTACTTTGCAGTTGGAGTGGAAAATACTGATGTCTGAGGGTTTTTGCTTTTGTTTTATTAATGGGGAAGTTCCTTCTTTAACTTCAGCCGGTTCCTGAGAATGCGCTGTCTCATGAACGCACTAGATTTACCCAACTTGTTGACAGCTTTATCGTGTTTGAGAGTAGAGCAGCTGCCTGTAGTCCTCATCACAGGACTTGGCAAAGATCTGCGAGCATCTTAATAATAACAAATTTCTTCTAGGGAACCAGTACAGAGGAGGTCTGATGTGCTTAGACTGTAAATCCTTTGGCAGGGGGGAAGGGGGGGAGAACAATATCATTTTGTTCCGCATTTGCAGAGCAGCTCACATGATGGGGTCTCAACCAGGACTGGGGCTCTTTAGGTACTACTCCAATACAAAAAATAAATAGTAGTCATCACAAAAAGCAGCTGACCAACCATGTTGCTGAGGAGAGGTGCTGCTGCGTTCACTCTGAGCTGGAGTTTCCAAAAAGCTGATGGCTTCATGCCCAGAGTCAAAAATCACAAATAACACTACACCCAGAACCAAAAAAGGGAAGAAAAAAAAAAAAAATAGTATCCTTCTACATCCAAGAAGTTAAAAGCAACACATATTCTATATACAGAAACATGATATTCCCTCGAAATTGGGTCCAACTAGGAGACTTATATTTGACCAACAAATACATTTTTGGATAGAGCACTGAGCTGCCTCTACACTGACAAGACTGTATAGTCCCACTCTCCACAACTCCTCCTCTTCTGCAGACTCAACTTTGTTCACTAACTCGGAGGTGCCAGAAGGAAAATTATCAATTTCAGCAAAAGAAAAATGTCCAAAGTCTGAGCAAGTGTTTCATAGTGGCAATACGGATGATGATGACGATGATTCTTTTTACACACAGTACATGCGTTCAACTCGCCGACACAATTGATGTGCTCAGAATTAGGCATGATCATCTTCCAAGTCAAGCAAGTTACAATAAAAAATAAAAATTAAAAAAAAAGTAGAGAGAGACATTTTCCACATATCCCTAGCTAAGGATGCCTTGAAATTCATAAACAGCATGTGTCAGGGGTGACCTACTGGCTAAGTCTACAGGTTGCAGAAAGTTAAAACTCTGAATAAAAATAAAATAAAAAAAAAGAGCGAGCGAGAGAGAGAAAAAGCGCTCAAGCGCCTAATTCGTTTAAACGTCTTTCAGCAACAGGCAGCATGCAGATCTTCTCAATGGAACCAAACACGAGGCTTCATTTTAATCCAAATTTAAAATTGCTTTCTTGGCCTAGAACAGAAGTTGAAATTAGACCTTCTCAGAGCTATTGAGATACAGGTCCCTGTCCAGCCACAAGAGAGTCCTGAGGTAAAAGTTATGTTACATTTTGGAATACAACACAACTTGCACTGATTATTTCAGACTAATGACATGGGAA